CATGGGCTGGGCTGGATGATCTCAGAGGGCTGTTCCAGCCCCAACAGTTCTGTGATTCTGTGGTTCATTTTCAAGTGCTGTCAGGTGCTTTTCCCAAGTGCTCGGGGATGGATGTGGGGTTTGTGTTGCGCTAGACTTGAAAAGAAACACACACACCCGCTGTGTTTTCCAGCTGAGGGTCGTTACCTTGCTAGTTCAGTTGGCTGAGGAAAGCCGTCAGGTTTCATGATGTGTGGTTAATTAAGTGGTTATTATAGCGTTAGTTACAGGGAAAATGTAACTGATTTCTTGTGTCGTAGCCCAGAGTAATTTTTCTGGTTTGTTTTATTTTGTAACTGGCCATGGATTTGGAAATGGCTCCCAAATTTTCTGGCCTGCTGGTGACTGGCAGCCTTTCAGGAGGTTCGGATGCACGATGTTACGGTGGAACAGGTTGCTCACGTTCCTTCTCAGTGCAAAAGCATCCTCTTTAGAAGTGGGGAAACTGGAATTTATTAGTTGTGACTGTTCGGTTTGAGCAGCAGCGATCAGGGAGCTGCACCGCCACGATTAAGGTTGCTCCGATCACGAATTGAGTCGTAAACCCACCATCGCTGTCGTGTGGCTTTCCCTGCTCCGGAGTCACTTGGCGTTTGGGGAAGGACGATGCAGAGCGGGGTCACTTTTGTTCTCCGCTGGCCAATAGTGCTTTTTTTTGAGTAATAACACTGCGCCCTATCGCATATCCTCTTGTCTTCTCTCGTTGCATCAGGGCCAGACGCCATTCGACGTGGCTGATGAGGGACTAGTGGAGCATTTAGAAATGCTGCAGAAGAAACAGACTGTGGTGAGTTTCTGGCAGATCATTTTCCACCTCTCCAATTACCTTTTCACACGCGGGTGTTCTCAAAGACATATGGTGACAACAGACGCAGGAAGCTGAGGCCCAGCTATTTTCTTTTTTTTTTTTTACGTGAGTCATTTGGAATCCTTTAATTACACCAATATTTTTAACAGCTAGAAATCTAGAAAACTGGATCAAGAAGGTCAGGAGCGCGCTGACCCACAGAATTATGTGAACGAGTGAAGAATGTATAGTTCATCTTTGGATTTTTTGTTATTCCGCAGTTGCTTTTGCTAGCTGGCAAGCTCTCCAGCATCACGCTGCTCTTTTCTTAATGAGCGATTGCCCAAGTCAACTTTGTGTTTGCGTCTAAGGAAATCCGCTGTCAGCGCTGAGGAAGAGATCTGTTACCATGTCTGCCTTCCTTACGGCGGGAGGGACTTCTGATTGAGGGAGAACAAATTATAAGCTCCAGGGAGTTCTGGACTAAAGAAACTGGTGATTTCAAAATCATATTAAATTGCCATTTCATAATGCAGTGGAGGTATTGGAAGGGGTTATAAGTGGAAAGTTGGCATAAAAAAGGAAAGCAAAAATACATCTTGATTAAAGTAAAGCCAGTCATCAAGCCAGAAAGTTGGGCTTGGATTGCACTTTTTCCTATTTCTTCTGGCCTACTCAATTATCTCATTTGGGTGCTTCCAGAAACCAAACCAGCCTTCATTAAAAAAAAAACAACCAAAAAATCCGTAAGTATCATTTAAAATGCTGGATTCAGAAAGAGACATAATGAGAACGCTGCTGATAAAACCCACTAAAGTATTTGAGGAGCTGACAATGTGGGTGGTAGAACTCGAGCTCTGATCATAACACAGCTGCCGTCAGCCTTAAATAGCGTCCTTAACAGTCATAGAATCTTTTTAAAAATTAATCAGCTTCTCCCTAAATGAGGTGTTGATAAATACTATCAGTGTTGTATTTTGGATTTCCTCCCGCCTCACTATAGCAGGATTCTGCAGAGAACTTTTTAAGAGAAAGAAGAAGAAAAATGACAACAAGAATTTTGGGGGTGGGTGCCAGCCCATTTTTAGGCCTGCTCTGCAGGGGCTAAACCCCCCGTGTTCTCTACGTTAGTAGCCCTATATAAAGGCCTCTCCTTTTGTTAAATGAACGTGGCAAGCTGCAGTAGCACCTGCTTTGGGTGACCCTGCGCTGGCAGGGCAGTTGGACTGGCTGATCTCCACAGGTCCCTCCAACCCCCAACATTCTGTGGTTCTGGGGGAAGAATCCAGATTTTGCCACATCTTTTTTTTTGGTGTGGTTTTTTTTAGTGGAATTGATTGTTTTTTTAATCGCAGTGCCATTTTATCACGTGTGTTTATCGTGTGCCATTTTTGTCACCTAAAATAGAAAACTTGGATTGGTGAAGGATGAAATAGGCACTTCCACAAGTATGTTATTTCACTTTCAAACTGGCTCTCAAATGATACCTTTTTATTTATTTATTTATTTTAATGTAGCCATCCTCGCTAAAAGCTTTGCTGCTGTTGTTGGAGAGAGGAAGAGGGAATGTTGTTCGCTGGAAGCACCTCATTTGAGTTGGGTTTGGATTTTCTTCCCCGG